AAGAATCATGAACACACAGGAATGTTATTTAATCTATATATATTTGGGAATGAGGATAAAAAACATAAGAAAATACGAACAATATATATATATATATATATATATATATATATATATATATATATATATATATATATATATATATATATATATATATATATATATATATATTGTTATACATTAGCAGGGTCAGAATATGATGCATTTTTTCCTACCATATAGAGTATATATTTTTTTATATGATAAGGGTAACAAACGAGCATACAGTCAGTGGTAAGTGGTTGCTGTATATATATAGCTGCAGCATGGCTCTACCACGTAAAAACTTAGGGGGGTACATAATTTGTTTTATCACCTATTTTAAAATATATAAACACACACAATCATATAACATACTACTTTTCGTATGTTAACTGATTATTCGTTAGCAATGATATACTATATGTACATTGCTATTTTATACTATATATACATTGCTAACGAATAACATATTATGTACATCACATAAACATAAGAAATCATTTTAAAATTTTAAAATACCTATAATTTTAAAATTGGGTGAGAGCACATTGCTTATTACAAATATTTTTATAATTTATTAAATATACTTTAAAAAAAAACAATTTTATTACTTCTATTAAATGTAAATACACTCGCAACATAATTTTGCAAAGCATACTTTTTTGGCTGACAGCATATTACCGCCGGGAAAAATTTAATACACCAACATATAATCTGTGCTGGGCGCCGCGGTGTCCCGCAATGCAGAATCTCAGTCTGTACTAACACCATGTGCTAACACTGAAATATCGTGTGCGAGGTGCACAACCACGTCTTAGCTCTTAGCAATCTTATCCCGCATTTTTTAAATTTATAAGTTTAAAAGAAATAATAGATTTGGTAAACAAAATAAACTTTCAAAAAGCCTTACAGCAACAATAAATACATGTAATTTACGTGGCAATACGAATGGGTCGGCTCGACCGCGGTACACCGGGATCTGGCAGACCACGCTCTCATAGAATATTAGATGTTTTGTATGGTCAGTTTAGAGAACTAAAGACCCTTTTTACTCATAACGAGGCATTCCATCTTAGAGCTTGACAACGTATGTGCATTTTCATGCATAATTGAGAATAGATATTAAAAAAATAATGAAAATAATTGAGAATAGATAATTCGGCCACATATAGGTCGCAGCATCCACTTAAAATTAGGTTGGCTGTGTGCTCACGTATCAGAGTTATTCTATAAGAAAAATGCTCTTTCTGATAATAGCCCAATATAATTTTAAAAAAAAAACTTAAGTTGGCAACTAACCCGCCTAATAAGCGGCTACTAATTTTTTTTAAAATTGCGAGTCCGTTTTACAAGTTTACTGTCACATACAATTTATTAGATAGTAGATATATTTTTCTGTAAAGAAGTCCATCTGGGTAGGTGCCACCCTCTTACCTGGTATAGAAAACCAGTATAATTGCAGGCTGTGAAGAACCCTATCTTAGTCTTCTCAGAAGTGACAACCGATCTGTAGCCTGTTTGTTTAAAGTTGGGTGCAGGTGTACATCGGTCTTCAGTAGCTATTTATCATAAGATGGACTGTAGGTTCGTTTTCACTTCAGTGTTATTAAAAAATACAATAAAAAATATGATAAATCACATAACAAATACTAACACAAAAATGATAAATGTAAAATATAAAATAATTTTATAACAATACAGGATACACGTACCAAATGTTTTCCCGCCATAACACCGAAATAGGAGGGAGGAAGATAAAAAGGAAAAATATCCTTGAAGAGAAAATTAAGGCTTAAAATGAAAAATCTTAAGATATCAAGAAAACAAAATAAAATTTACACATGTTTATCGTGTGTAACACAAAATTTACTGTTATAGTAAACGATTCACTATTTACATCCTCATCAATAATTTTATCATTGAAACTATCCTCATAAAAGCGGATCGTGTGCCGACACTAAAACAATCTACGAGATTATTGACTTACGTAACAATTGGGAGATAGCTTCCAAGTATCATAGCATGGGGGAGTAACAAGTCCACATTTTATTGATATTACTCACATGAGCTTCGTCTTTAGTAAACTGATAGTATACAATTCCTTTTTTTTAATTAGACATGTGCATTTTGCAGGCTCCAATTTTTTAATGATTGGTCTTATCATCATCATCATCATCATCATCATCATCATTACAGCCCTTCACAAGTCCACTGCTGAACATAGGCCTCCCCCAAAGAATGCCACAAAGCACGGTCCTGAGCCACCTGCATCCATCGACTTCCTGCATGTCTTACTAGGTCGTCACTCCATCTCGTGGGGGGACTACACTTCGTCTACCGGTACGAGGCTGCCACTCGAGAACCTTTCTTCCCCATCGGTTGTCGGTTCTTCGAGCTATATGGCCGGCCCATTGCCACTTCAGCTTACTAATCCGTTGGGCTATGTCGGTTACTCTGGTTCTACTGCGGATATCCTAATTCCTAAGTTTATCACGCAGAGAAACTCCGAGCATAGCCCTCTCCATAGCTCGCTGAGCGACCTTGAGCTTCCTCATCCGGCCAGCAGTGAAGGACCACGTCTCAGTTCCGTATGTCATCACTGGCAACACGCACTGGGTGTACAGTCTCGTTTTCAAGGTTTGAGGTATACCTGACGAGAAGATGTGCCGTAATTTCCCGAACGCTGCCCAACCGAGTTGAATCCGTCGATTGACCTCTCGGTCGAAGTTGGACTTACCTAGTCTGACTATTTGTCCCAGGTAAACATACTCGTCAACAACTTCGAGCTTAGTGTTCCCAACAACTACCGGCATAGATGTGACATGGACATTAAACATGATCTTAGTTTTGTCCATGTTCATCTTAAGACCTATCCGTTGGGAAACACTATTGAGGTCATTGAGCATAGTGCTTAGGTCCTCCAGCGATTCTGCCATAAGGACTATATCGTCGGCAAATCGAAGGTGAGTGATGTACTCGCCATTGATGTTGATACCGTATCCTTTCCAGTCCAGAAGCTTGAAAACGTCTTCCAATGCAGCGGTGAAGAGTTTCGGGGATATGACGTCACCCTGTCTTACGCCTCTCTGCAATTGGATAGGTTTCGTACTCTGGTTCTGTACTCGGATAGCCATCGTAGCCCTACTGTACAAGCACTTCAACACTTCGATATACCGACAGTCAACTTGGCACCGCTGAAGGGACTGCAGCACCGCCCAAATTTCGACGGAATCAAAGGCTTTCTCATAGTCCACATACGCCAGATATAGTGGCAAATTGTACTCTTCGGACTTCTGTACAATTTGCCGAAGAGTATGTATGTGGTCTATGGTGCTAAAGCCCTTTCGGAAACCGGCTTGTTCGGGAGGCTGGAAGTCGTCAAGTCTGCGCGCGAGACGATTCGTAATGACTCTCGAAAACAGCACGTAGACGCGGCTCAGAAGGGAAATCGGTCTGTAGTTCTTCAAGAGAGCGTTGTCACCTTTCTTGAAGAACAAGACCACCGCACTTCTGCTCCACGCCTCCGGTGTAATGCCACCATTGGTCTTATATTTAAATATAATATGATTTCTTGTTATATGAGTGTTACATGAGATATAATAATTTTTCTCTTTAAATATTATATGAATCTTTTTATAAATATACTTACGTTACAATTTTTATATGATATCTATTTTTTCTCTACGTATCGGTGACACGTCTTGATGAAACAACTGGATCGATTTTGATAAAAATTCATTTTACTTAAATTCTGAATTTATGAAAATGATGAAGTCGAGGCACATTCGGCCTTAAGCCTCATTCTTTTGGTTGGAGGCAATTTGAGAAGCGGTGTCAGAGAAGTGAAAACATCATTTTATGCATCTGAGTCACTAGAGTTAAAAAATATATCTTCTAGATAACGGTGATCGACCAGCGTCATATCTTTCCTTTTTGCCTTACTTCCTAAAGAAGATTAATGATGCGGAACTTAAGGCAATCCCATCTGAAACTACGGCTGAGCTAGCGTCGGCATTTGTTAAAAGTATCTAAACAATATTAGATATTTTATATAATTGAGAAAAATCGGTAAAATAAAGACGCTTGACATATGGGTACCTCACTCACTGAGTGGCCTGCGTCCAAGCTCGCATCATATTGCTATATCGGCTTAGAAAGGAAAGAATTTATGACCGTTATGTTACTGATAAGTGGATCCTGTACGGCAATCGCAAGCGTTCATCGCTGAGGTTAGAGATCCAGGTGTCCAATCCAAACACTGCTCAAAACGAAAACAAAACCTTATAAAACAAAAGAATAACTGATTAAAATAACTATCTAATCAAACCAAATCAAAGTGCCCAGTTTTAGCAAATTTGTCATTTTTTATGTAAACTATTATAATATAATTGACAGCTCCAGTGCAATATTCAACCGATTGATTTCTATACTACGGGCCGCGTTCTATGTGTGTAAACATATAGCCATGCTAGGTATAGATTACTAAATAGATCTATTGTATACATAAATATGTCGCAGCCAACTAGCTATAATAGCTTTTCAGTTAACAGCCTAGCTTTTTTTAACGTTGTTTAACTGGCGGCCTGAAAGATATTCAGCCCATGCGTTTCAGCCGATGCGTGTAATACAACATTTCATACGTAATCATGCAATATGTTCTATATTATATAAATATAAGCGGCCGCACCATAACCTACTGTCGTTGTTATTACAAGATAGGTGCAATGTGGTTTAGACGCATCGTCTGAATGTCATTCAGGTTGCTAGTTAAACGACGACGTTTAGTAAAAAGGCTAGGTTGTTAACTGAAAGCTAATTAAGGTAGTTAGCTGCGATATGTATATAGAAATAACGTTTCTTTGTTTGTCCCGTATGCGTCCTTATATCACATATCATATGAACAGATATCTTACAACATTGAACCTTACAAATTGTAGATTGATTAAAATGTGTATTTAATGCAACGGCACTTCTTTAAGGTAACCGCTCTATTGGCTCTGAGCGCTGGCGCGGCTTTTGCGAGCACCGGTGCACTGTACGTCACTGAACGACTGCGTCTTGGACCACGCGGTGGAACCCAGCTGGTTGTAAGAGTCGCCGTCAATACACCTGGAAGGAAGAACATTACTGGTAATTGTTTTTATGTTATAGATAAGAAGACCAATAACACACAAAAAAAAAAACAAATCCTAAAGTGGGGTTAAAATCGTTGAAATTACCTTGATTTAAAACCCACATTATATACATAGCACAAAGAACATTTGAAATGCAAATTGTATCTTAAGTAGGAATTAAGTACTTACATAGTTTATTCTTTCCTTTTACCCATAAATAGTCCACGGCTGGACTTGAACCTCTTTCAAAATAAGTTAGAAATGGCTCAACCGTCACATTTGGGCAGTGGATTTGAAATTGCAGTATCAGACGATTTCCACCTTTCACTCTGCTCTACTCTAAAGCCGTCGGTCTGGGTGTTATTTGTTTTTAATCGATAATGGGTCTAGATTTGACAAAGATCCTACCCGATCTTAAGCGATGGTAAAGAGAAAGTGCATATTGCATTATCAGCTCCGACGCGCAACTATAGTTTACTGCTTAAGAAGCTGTGGAACTCTTTTAATTTATTATGTATCCACAATTTAGTGTTGTTTTTTATTTTATACTTAACGAGATATCAAATGATATTATTTTTAAATAAGTCGATGTTATTGATTTATGTTAAAGAAAGGAAATCATTCAACGCGTCTCGTATAACACATAAACAAAAATTACAACTAAGTATCTTTATACTACTACCTGCTGACGAAAAGAAGATAGGAGCATTAATAACTAATTTTAAAAGCGATTGTGCTGTTGGATTGGAAATGATCTCCGCCCACATTTAAAAAAACTACAGAGATTTTAGTTAAACCCTACACCTGTAACTTGTCGCTTTCGATCGGAGTGTTCCCTATAGCACTTAAAAAGTCAAAAACTTACCCGATTCATAAAAGTGATGATAGAGACTGTGTCGACAATAACAGCCCCATATCTATTTCGCCGTCTAGTGGCGATAAAGAATATCCACTACCCCATATCTTCCCGTAGGTGTCGTAAAAGGGGAGAAAGGGAAACAGGCAGGAGATGGGCAGCAGCATCTTCCTGATAACAGCAAAAATTAGAATAAAAAAAACTGCAGTTGCCAACCCGCTCGCCAAGCATGACAACTATGGCAATATACCCCCCATGAGCAATGACAATAATAAACGGCCTCCAGTACCCGGCGGCCCCGCTATTCCTGGCTACGGTGGCGACCATGGTAGCGGCGGGGCAGGGGGTGCTAAGAATCTCCGGTGGAAGTCCGAAGAGAGGGGGAGGACACGGTAATCCTCGAATCCGGCAACTTGCTCTATCACCGGGAGGGCGACCATCTGTCCCAAGGAGGTGTCGGATTTATCGTCCACAAGTCTCTCGTCAACAACGTTGTAATGATTGAGAGTGTGTTGACGAGGGTTGCGTACCTTATACTCAGAATCACCAAACGGTATTCGCTGAAGGTCATACAGGTTTACGCACCAACCTCGGCGCACCCCTATGAGGAGGTGGAGGAAATGTATGAGGATGTCTCTAGAGTCATGCATTCCTCCAAAAACCCACTATACTGTGTTAATGGGAGACTTCAACGCAAAAATAGGCACAAGAGAGAACGGTGAGCTGAAAGTAGGGAAATTCGGAATAGGGCAACGGAACCCAAGGGGCCAGCAGCTGGCCGACTTCATGGAGAAAGAGGGACTCTTTATGATGAACTCTTTCTTCCAGAAGCGGCCCCACAGGAAGTGAACCTGGTCGAGCCCCGAAGGTTCCACAAAAAATGAGATTGACTTCATTATGACGACCAGGGGCCAGCAGCTGGCCAACTTCATGGAGAGAGAGGGACTCCTTGTGATGAAAAACTTTCTGAGGGGCCACTTTCCACTTTCTGTGCCCACTGAACCTGGTCGTGCCCCGACAGTTCGACAAAAAATGGGAATGACTTCGACCAGACGACAACTGTTCAGTGATGTCTCCGTGATCGCGAGGATGAAAACCAGTAGCGATCACCAAATGGTTAGAGGCACACTGAACCTAAAAGTTAAGTTGGAGAGGTCTCATCTAATGAAGTCAACGCTCCGTCCCCTCGTGCTCTGTTCCAAAGTCCCGAAACCTTTCAGCTCGAGTTACAAAACCGTTTTCAGTGCCTAAAAGACTGCAATGAAGTGGACGATATGAATGACAAGCTCGTGGAAACTGTCGATGCGGTCGGAGGTAAGTTTTGCAAGACCCGCCGCAAACGAACACAAAAACTCTCCGATCACACTCTCATTCTCATGGCTGTTAGACGGGAGATGAAGCCACATTCTTCAACAGATTTGACAGCATACAGGCAACTGAACAGACAGATCTCCAAATGCATGTGGCGGGATTTACGCAACTTCAATACAGCTTGTATTGAAGAAGCGATTGCAGAAAGGTGTAAGACAGGGTGACGTTATATCCCCGAAACTCTTCACCGCTGCATTGGAAGACGTTTTCAAGCTTCTGGACTGGAAAGGGTACGGTATTAACATCAATGGCGAGTACATCACTCACCTTCGATTTGCCGACGATATAGTCCTTATTGCAGAATCGCTGGAGGACTTAAGCACCATGCTCATTGACCTCAATAGTGTCTCCCAACGAATAGGTCTTAGGATGAACATGGACAAAACAAAGATCATGTTTAATGTCCATGTCACACCTATGCCGGTAGTTGTTGGGAGTACTAAGCTCGAATTTGTTGACGAGTATTACCTGGGACAAATAGTCCGACTAGGTAAGTCCAACTTCGACTGAGAGGTCAATCGACGTATTCAACTCGGCTGGGCAGCGTTCGGGAAACTACGACACATCTTCTCGTCAGACATATCTCAAAACCTTAAAACGAAATTGTACAACCAGTGCGTATTGCCAGTGATGACTTACGGATCTGAGACGTGGTCCTTCACTGCTGGCCGTATGAGGAAACTCAAGGTCGCTCAGCGAGCTATGGAGAGGTCTATGCTCGGGGTTTCTCTGCGTGATAAACTTAGAAATCAGTATATCCGCAGTAGAACCGGAGTAATCGACATAGCCCAACGGATTAGTATAGCTCGAAGAACCGACAATTGATGGGGAAGAAATGTTCTCGAGTGGCAGCCTCGTACCGGTAGGCGAAGTGTAGGGCGACCCCCCACTAGATGGAGTGACGATCTGGTAAGACATGCAGGAAGGATGGATGCAGGTGGCTCAGGACCGTGCTTTGTGGCATTCCTTGGGGGAGGCCTATGTTCAGCAATGGACTTATGAAAGGCTGTAATGATGATGATGATCTATGTTTTCAACAATATCCAAAATCCTATAGTGTGTTATGAATAAGAGGTTAGTTAAATATCTTGAAGATAACCAATTGCTATGTTCAGCACAATTTGGTTTTAGGTCCAAATAATCAACCTCAGATGCTGTTCATGAATTGATTAACTTTATTGTAACTAATCTTGACAATAAAAAGAAAGTTATTGCGATATTTTTAGATCCTTTTTTGTGAACTCCAGTTGAAACTATTCGAGAGTTACTTGACCAACAGAATGCAGTGCGTAAAAGTGGAAAACCTTGTACGTGATGAGGTTCCAGTTTACTTTGGAGTCCCACAGGGCAGCATCTTGAGCCCTAAGCTATTCTTCGGTTACATCTATGATCTGTGTAAATTAGACCTACCCATGACTAAAATTGTAACTTTTGCCGATGACGCAACGTTGTTTATCGGTGGGGAGTCGTGGGGCGAAGCTTTTTCAAATGCACAGAGGTGCTTTAATGTGGTAAAAATTGACTGAATGACAATATCCTAACTCTTAAAGTGAGTAAGACGAAATACATAACATTTTCTTTGAGAAATGCTAAATCTGAAATTAACCAGTATAAAATTAAATACCACACATGTTCGAATCACAATGACTCCAGCTGTTTGTGTTGTAGTCTAGAAAAGACAAATACTTTTAAGTACGTATATGGGTATTATGGTTGACGGTAGATTAAGCTTCTAGAAACACATTAACTCATTAGCAACAAGAACGCGCAAACTAATTTATATTTTTAAGAACCTACGATATGCGGCTGATAAAGAGTTAATAAAATTGGTTTACCTTGCTCTTGGATAATCACAACTTAGTTACTGTATTTTTTCCTGGCGTGGATGACCTAAAACCTTATTATTAAACATTGAAAGAGCTTAGAGAGCTGTTTTAAAAGTAAGCCTTTTTTATCGGTATTTCACCCAACCATCGATGTATATAAGCAGAGTAAGTTCCTCACAGCACGTCAGCTTTATATTCTGCACACTGTTTCTATGCAACATTCCTTACTGACATATGAACCAAAGCTAATTGAAAACCGGCGCATAAAAGACAAAAGTCTGTACAAAAACATTGTGAAACAAGTTTTGCACATCGTTTCTTCGGCTATCAGTGTTATATTCTATATAATAAAATAAAAACAGGATCTTCCAAATTTACCCTCTACCAAAAACTAAATGTAAGTAAGGGACTAGTTGCAATCATTGGATTATGGTTTATGGTTTTACGGAAGTCTACTTCTTTAACAGGTACTGACAGAAATAGAAAAATTAGTTTACACACACACACACGCGCACACACACACACGAACTATATTATGAACTTTATCAATACCCGGAGATTTCCAGTTATGTAATCTTTCTGTAATATTTCGGATCTCATCTTCTGTAATCTGAGTAAACTCCATTTCTTCTATTGTACTCCATCTCTGTTCTTCTTCAGTTATCCAGACGGCATTCTCATTATGTGCTACATGTTGTTCCCATATATCAGACCAAAATTATTCTAAATGTTCTGCTGTTAGAGTATCTACATTCCTGATTTCTGTGTCAGTTTGTAGGTTCCCTAAGTTTCTATAAACTAGTTTTTCATTATTGGCAAATATGATATTATCGTTCTTTCGTTGTTGTACTTTTTCGTATCGTTTGAGTATGTGAGCTTTGAGTGCTAGTTTCTGTTTTAGTATGTCCAAGAACTCGTCAGGTTTTCTACTTGTATTTTCGTGTCTTGTATGTATGGTTGCGT